GCCCAGGAACAATAACGCTTCTAACGTCTACGGGTGAAGAATTAGAAAAAAAAACGGCGCTCGTACGTAGCGTTGTACTTTTGCTTTCATCTCGATTGAGTTTAAACGCAGCTGAAAATCGCGGAGGGATTAGGAGGAAAATCGAAATCGCTCTTGGCCGGAAAAAGGAAACCTCAGCTCGTGTAACTGACCACGGGGAAATTCGTGACGAGAGGTCATGATTTATTACCGCGGGCCGACAAATTCCTCTGAATGTTCGACTGTGTTAAAACTCAATCGAGATGAAAGCAAAAGTATAACGCAACGTACGTTTTCTCTAATTTTTTACCCTTAGACGTTAGAAGCGTTATTGTTCCTGGGCAAATTTCACGATCGTCCGCAGAGTAGTTTGTCCAAATTTATATTACAGAGAATGTTATTATTGTATTATAGTAAGAGAAAAATGCATCGTTGGATAAAAATCATCGAGACAAAAAATGTTTCTGCGCCGTCAAGTTCTTTGCACGCGACATTTGTGTCCAAAATGGTCACTTTTGCAAATTTCCATAATTGATCGACCGGAAATTTCCTACAGGCAATTTCTCCATTTGCATAGCCGAAATTTCCATTCGTCGACTCTCATTCTTCCTCAGCAGATGGAAAATTCAGTCACACTAACCGAGTTGTTTTATATATGCGGTAATTTCGCCGCTTTTTATTTTATTCGACCACGATAAGCTTCGACGCGATGAGTAACAGAATCGCTTCTGCGAGTTGTACAACATGCCGTGCGAAGAACGCCAAACTTTATGACGAAAGTAATCGCTGAGAATGCGGAAGGACGTTTGTGACTCGCGCGCGGCGATTCTCAGAACGATAATCTGTCAAAGTTCAAACGAGAGATCGCCCGCCACGGTGAACAATGCCTTCACGATGGCGAACATCTCGCGTACATTTTCCGATATCCGGCGCGATGTCATTCTCGCCTACCCATTAAGAAATCACGTACGTTCGGCGAAGGCGTCTGCGCCGTATCAGGCGCGATAAAAAGAGAGAAATGGCAGAGCAAGGTGCAAGACAGAGTACATTTTTACGCGAGCCTGAAATGTAACATGCGAGTGGAATGCGAGATTTCGCAGCGTGAACCAAAGGTCAGACTTTTCATTCGTCGGAAACAAACTCGCACGACAGTTCGTTCAACGCGCGTCATCGGTAAATCTTATGGACGCTTCGCCTAAATTGAGAAACATTATTTCCAACAAGTATATATTTATCCCGGAGGCTAAATTCCGTACCGCTGTGTGCGCACGCGCTCGCGTATCATTTGCGTCATATGCACGGAGTTTTTAATCAAACTGTCATCTTTCCTTATATCGTCCCATCGCGTCGTATCATAAGCACGTAGTGCCATCGCATAATGCGTGATCTCACACGGACAAAAGCCGCGAGGGCGGTCACGTAGAGCACATTCTTCAAATTAAGATGCGCCTCCCGATACAATGTGTCACTCGCGCGCGCGCGCGTACACGCTTCTTTATCAACTAAATACGCAAAACGACGCGCGAGCGAGTGAATCAAGTATTTGTAAGTACCGATCACACACATACACACACACACAAACACACACACACACACACACACACACACCAAAGCATCGAGTAAAAATTATTTGTGTCATTCACACGTGTCACGTTTATGCGATATTGTGTCATACTCGAGCGTACACCTTTCTCCAAAAAATATAAATAATACCTCGCGGAATTTATATTGAAACGTGAGACGCATCGTTTTGTTTGCATTTTCGATGAGTTGGTTTTTAAATATCCAAGTACTGGGAGCAAGAATTATCTATACAGTTTAGGTGTGACCGTCGTGCATGTGTGAGTGAGTGAGTGCGTCGTAGTCGAGTGTTTCTGTTAAAAAAAAAAAAAAAAAGAAAAAAATATATACATAAAAATATCTGATTGAAGTTATCGTGAAAGAATGACGGGAGAAGCACATAATTGTTTCTATCATTATTTCAATCTTCAGCGATTTTACTCGTTCGCTTCACAGCTGCGCCGTGCGCGAAAGAGCAAACGATCCTAAAAGAAGGACAATCTCGTCGTTTTTACGATCGAAGAGTGACGTTAAATGCTAGATAGGAGTCATCGCACATCGCAGATTCTATGAATGAATTCCACGCGTCATTCACACGACACCCAGCATCCGTTCCCAATGGTGTACGTCGTCTTATTAACCTAGGTCATTTATCGGCGGTCGTCTCATTCCTCACCCTCCACGTTGTCTTATCAATAATGCCACGTGATTTTCATCGGCTGCATTCGTGTGACGAGCGTCTCTCTCTCGAGTTGTACCGACCTATAATAATAAATGGTGTCTAATTCCGTCCAAACTTCAATTAGCTCCGTTCTCTGAGCGCTTTTATTAACAACGACCAGCCGGACATCGTAAGGGGAGAAACGCCGCGAGTAATTGGAAAATCACACAGCGCGGTGGTCGACCTCACGAGGTAAGGTCCGTTCGTATAAGAAAGGCTCCGACTAGAGCGCGCCGATTGACAGAGGATCCTTCTTCCTCGCCGTTTATCGATCGATTGCGTTACACGACGCAATGACGGTGACACCAAAACCCACAAACTTGCTTGGTTCCGCGTGCTTTCCACTCGTAGGCCCAAAGTCGACGTAGAAATGATGCAGCAGACGCGACATGTTACACGGCCACCCTCTTCTCTCGAAAACTTTCTCCCGCTTTAAGTCGACGAGCAGCTTCCTCAACACGTCGGATAAATCGCCGGATAAAAGGGAGGAAAAGAAGAGGAAATTGAGGAAAATGCCAAGTCACACCTCAGGCAAACCAACGGGCAGGAGGAAACGTCGCTGGAAGAGGAGTTTTCTTCTCCAACAGTCCATTTATTGTAACGGACGCGTCGACGCGTGGTTACGTAACGCGACGTGGTTACGTTGCGTGCGAATTAATCCTGTTACGATAGTTCATTAAGTTCCTCTTCTCGCGATCCTGCGGTCTGGAGCCCATTGTTACCGCATCCGGGCGGGATCTTCGTCGAAGAATATTCGCCAGTCGCGGTCCTATGCGCTTCGGCAAGAAGCGCCGTTCTGGAAAGAAGCAGCAGCCCTCGCGACGCCGACGGTGGCGCGGCGGCGCGAAGAAGCGCGCCTTGTGAGAGAGTTTCGCGGGTGCTTCTCCCAAGTTCAGCCCACCTTGCGTACACCAGACGTACGTAAGCATTTGAGAGCTAGTGAAAGGGAACGTCATCGTTATGACTTCAAGTGGGAGGCAAAAGAGGATACGGACGCGCAGCTTCGCGGGTGGGGGCGGGGGGGGGGAGGGGGAACGCCGCGCACCGCTCACGGTGGGAAAAGCGGCGGAGGAGAGGTCTCCTCTCTTGGACCGCTCGGAAATCTCTCCTCCTCGTCCTGGGAAGAGGGAAGAGGGAAAAACGAAGAAAAGGCGACTCATGCCGCGCGGCGCGGCCGCGCCGCCCGTGATCGATTTCGTCGCGCTGCGCCCGCGAGAGAGGAGCCGTCCCGCGTGAGACATTTCGCGGTGGCCAATTAGAGGCGCGATTGAAGAACGGAGCGAGCTAACGAATTAACGGCGACTCACCGGGGCCGCTAATTAGCGGTCGCGCGCGATAGGTGCTAACTCGAGGCGCGAACTTTTCCGGCGCGACCAATGACGCGAGCTGCGCCGCTTCGCCGGAGACAACGCTCGCTCGCGAGGAAACGCGCGCGCCGCGACGGAGGCGTGCTCGCGCGTCGCGTCCTCGTGATTAGTTCGGCCCAAGAGCGGACTTTGCTTCTCGCCGCGCGACACCGCGCAGCGGGATCAATCTGGCGCCGACGTGGTCGCGTGAGGTCGCACGACGTAATAATTACTGTCATCGTTATCGTCATCATCATCATCATCATCATCATCGTCTGCCGTTGCTGTTGCGTCTACAGAAACGTACATATGCGCGCACGCACGCGCGCGCGCTCTGACGCAGTCACGCGTCGAGGAATCGCGCAGCCCACTATCATTAACGCCGTTCATCAATGCCAGCAGCTCCTCGCTCGATGATCGCGAAAGCCGATGCTGCGGAGACGCTGCCGTTGCGCGCGGGATTCTTAGCGGGGGATAACGAATGGTGTAACCTCCTCGTCGACGGCAACAATTAGCGGAGTCGCGCACGCTGTTGACGCACGCGCCTTCGTCTCCCGATAAGGTGCTATAATTAATCCCCATCGTCGGATTCGTCTTATGTACGGTTGACGCACTGTCGATCTCTTCGCGGATCGATTGTATGTGTGTATCTCTCTTTCCCCGCGACACGAAGATGGGAAAGCCGCCGGCGATGATGCTCCGCGCCGCGTGCGTGGCCGAGCCGAAGGTGAGGGTTACCTAACGACATCCTGGGCTTTCTACGACGAAGAAGGTCAATAGGAGACAAAAAATTAAGAAAGAGCGCGTAAGAACGAAGAAAGCACGAGGAAGGGTTCACAAAAAGAAGTGTGGAGTCATGATGCCGGAGCGAGGAGTGAGCGGAGGAAGGCTGTGCAATTTTCGCGAGACTCGAGCAAGGGAATCCAAGAAACACCAGAGTCACCTCAGCGGGTAGCCATTGACACAAGTGCCGAGACGGCTCTCTCGGTATCGCACATTCGCGATACCGTGGATCATGCCGGGCAGACTCGTGAGATGAGACTACAATGTACGGCGGAGCGAGCATGAGTCGACGTTAGCGTTGCACCGCTGACGACTAGCTTCTACTACGTACGCATGGTGGGGACAGAGTAAGGATCCAAGTGGGGGGGATGGCGGGTCGCTCGCGGGGAGTTATGAATGAGTCGCGGAGTCCTGAACCATCAGACCCCCGCGGTGGGGGCAGGAGTCGCGTTGGAGAACGCGAACTGTCCAGGAGGAGGGAAGAGGCACGATGGGCGAAGGAAGTGGCGACGGCGGCGGCGGCGGCGGCGGCGGCGGCGGCGGCGGCAGCGGCGGCAGCGGCGGCGATGGTGAGGAAGAGGAGGAAGAATAGAAGATGAGAAAAGGTAAGAATCCAAGCGCGGGCGTTCGAGGAAGGGCAAGGATAGTAGGGGGGGACCCCTCTGAAAGCGGGGTATGGGCCACGTGCTCGGTTGCTTTACAATCGTATATAGGCACCGCTCGACCGACTGGCCAGTACCATACACTGACAGTCACACCGGGGGCGCACGAGGTGATAGGAAGAGTGAAAGAGTTGCGCGCCCGTGCAATAGAGAGGAGGGAGACGGACAGACGGAGAGAGGACGAAGGATAAGAAGAAGAAGAAGAAGAAGAAGAAGAAGAAGAAGAAGAAGAAGAAGAAGGAAGAAAGGAAACGTAGGAGGATACATATATACACAATAGATAGAGACGAGGCGATCACGGGAGACGACGGATCTACGTACACACGACCAAGGCAGACAGACAGAAGTCCACTTCCATTCCCTTAGACAGGTTCACTCCTACTACAAGGAGAGACGAAGAGCCTGCCTCCGTTCGCTCGCTCGCTCGCTCGTTCGCTCGCCTGCCTGCCTGCCTGCCTGCCTGCCTGCGTGCCCGCTATCCTGTCAGACTCTTCGCCTGACTGGCTTCTCCTTCTCCGCGCCTCGGACGAAGGCGACGAACATCTCAGTCACTTTCTGACAATCGCTTGCGAGACCAGGCTACCCTTCCGGACATCCCGCTGCGAAAGCGACGAGTAGCGAAGCTACCGGTGGTAACGTCGACGTGACAGAGGGGGTGCAAAGCACGCCGCACAGTCGGAGAGGGGGTTGCACGAGAGAACGAAGAAGAGGACTGCCGTTATTAACATCTCTCGATTATTTGCATTTTCCGACTGCTCCTTCCTGTTCTCACTCACGAGTCCTCCCGCCACTTTTTCCGGATGCACACCCCCGCCACCTGCCGCCCGCAGGGATCCTTGAACCCCCGTTCTCTCTTTCTCTCTCTCTCTCTCTCTCTCTCTCTTTCTCTCTGTCTCCTTTTCGACGTGTATAAAAAGCAGTGCGACGCGTGTGCCGGGATCAGTGCCGACAGATTGTGATTCTGTGCGGGGGGACAGTTTGTCGATCCTGCATTCAGTGTTGTGCGATGGCGACTATGGCGTCTGAGAGCGGCTTACGCTCGGAAATGAAGGCCATACTGAGCCGGGACGCCAGGACTACGTCGCACAGACTCGTTGACCGTTTCACGAACCTCCACGCGACCACGGCGTCGGCGACGACGTCGAGGTGGTGGTGGTGGTGGTCGAAGCTCCGGGGTGACGCGAGTCCCCGAGCGGACTCGCGGTGTCCCTCCGCGGCGTCCGGTGACCACCGAAGAACACACACCATGAGCAGCGGCAGCAGCAGCAGCAGATGCACGAGCGGTCGGGTCAGGTGGTTAAGTAAGTCCAAGACATCAAGTCAAAATATATCGACTCGGCTTCGCGAGTCGTCAAGTCTTCTCGACCGGTTGACCAGTTGGGAAAGATCCCGCGCGCACAATGCGACTTTTTGCCGCTCGCTCCGGCTACGTCGAGCGACCCGCGCGGGGTTGGCACAATGCTGAGGAAATTGGCGCGAGGCTTCGCGAGCCGCAAATTGAGGAGTCTCGGCGACGTCAGCGGCGAATTCGCGGAGTCGGTACGCGCGTTCTCGCGACGACGTTACGAAAGCTTGAGCGCGCCAAGGCGGCGGATACAAAACGACGAGCTCGATGCAAATGAAGCAGAGCACCCGATATGATTTCCACATCGATTCGTAGAAAGCAACTCGCGACCGGAAGGAGGATGTGACCGTTTTCGTTTTATTTTCCTCACGCCGCGCGACAACGACCGCGCGGGAATGATAGATGGATGCAGCCGGTGCCGGCGGTTTGCGACACCCGAAATGTCGCGCGAAAATAATTACGTCACGCCGTCCCCTTGCTGCATGCGGCGCTCTCATCAGTCGATTGGCCTTGCGTGTCGCTTGCCGCGCGAGGAGAGATCTACAGAAGGCGTATGAATATTTTTTTAAACACGACGCTGACACAATGACACGATCCGCTCGATCCGCCGTTTCGATGCTGAAACGGCGCTTCGATGCGATCGCACGCGATCGTCGACAACGTTTTAAGCTGACTTTCAACACCGTTCCGTCTTACATTACAATTAATGTTCGCGCTACGCGGCGAACATTAATTCTAACGATACCGTAAAATTAGTGTGGCTACACCGGGCGATACACACGCTCGTCACTGTCGTCGTGAGCTCGTCACTCGAGCGCCGCTCGCTGCTCGCGTCACGCGACGTGGACGATGCATCATTCGCGTTTCCCCCGATCGCTACTTTTTCGTACGGCAACAGGCGAAATCTGTCAGGCGCGATGCAAATAACATTTCCACCCGTTCAACTCCCCCGAGGCGTTCGCGCTTGCTACTCAGCATTCAGCAGAAAATCCCCGCTCGCATTCCCCCCGTCACTAATATGAATATTCGCAATTAGATGTGAATCACTCGAATTGCGCTTTCCTTCGCGCGTCGGCGGCGGCGGCGTGGGGCGTTAATCGATGAAAGGGTCTTGCTCGACTGGAATACTCGGCCGGTCGATAACCGAAATGAATCAATCGTCGTGCGTGCGATCCCCGAAGAATCCGGCCGCTCGGTGAGACGAATGAAATCAATCGGTGTGCGTAACCAATCGAATCAACACGATCGATCGAGAGACGATCGTCATACCCAATTTACTCCGCGATTTACTCCGTGTTAATTCTCATCAATCCGGTCGACCCCGAAATCTCCAGCGATCAACGCCCAACGGTGGTAGACGACACCAGCAGCGCGCGGCTTACGAATGTACTGCTCGCGCCTCCTCTGCTCGATTTATTGTCATTCGTATGTTTCTCCCGCTCTCTCTCTCTCTCTCTCTCTCTCTCTCTCGCACGCGCGCGCGCGCGCGCGCGCTCCTCTGCCACACAGGTTTGACGTCATTTTCGAGCCGCCAAGCGCGTTAGTCATCCTCCTCATAACGGTCCTCCTTATCGATTCTTCATTTGTGCGTTCGCGGTGCGATCGCACTCGAGTCCCGCCCATCACTCGAGTCCTCGTGCATACGCAAAACGCACAGTCGTCTAACCGGGCGGAATTCGCCGCGACGCGACGATCTCGCGCCCATTTGCCTAGTCCCACCTGTTGAGTTGCAGTCGCGGTCGCCACAGGTGGTTCGAGCGGAGCCGAGCCGGCTCGTATCGATCCGCGGCCGACACGTCGCGGCGAGACGTCGCTCTCGCCGAAAGTCGCCGAGGGTCGTTCCCTCGCGCGACGGCACGCCAACGACGACGTTCGATATCGGCGGATCGAATCGTCGGCGGAATTCCGACCGCGTACGCGCGGCCGTCGGTCGCGCGGAGAATCGGCGGGAAATGATGTGCAATAAATCGAGCGGCGCGTACGCGCACATCGCGACCTACCGCAACGCGCGAGCGCGCCTCGCTCCGCGGACGCGAACGGAAAGAAAAGGGAGTAGCGGGTCGAGCGTAATGGGGTATAATTGTCGCGAGCAATGCGAGGACAGTGCGTCATTACCGCATTTTTCATCGTCTTTCTTGCCGGCCGACAGCGGGGACGCACTCTTTGCGCCGCCCGGCGTGCGTTGCGCTGGCTTTGCGCGCCGTGCTTCTTTTTTTATCCTTTTTTCGACGCGCGCGCGCGCGCGCGCACGCGCGCGCGGGCTCCCGTGGAATTTCGATGGAACGCCGTCGCCGAGCGAGTCGTCGTTGAGGTAGGCCCTTCGCGCTCATCGGCGCGCCGTCCGTGGACGCGCGGTCTGCGAAAGTTACAAAGGATCGTCTCACGGGGCTCTCGCGACGAAAGCTGACGGAGACGGAGACGGAGACGAGTCTCGTCGCCGGGCGAGCGTCTCGAGCCGATCGACACGAATTTGCCGAATGGCACAATCTGCACGAACCCGGCTCGAAATTCTCGCCCTCTCATGCAGATCATCTCGTAGTCGTAAACGTCTGATGAACCAGTGGAAGTTTGTATTTGTATAAAACTGAGCTGAGCTGAGAATAATGGAGTGCCAGAGGCCATTTATGGATTTTCGCGAGATATTAATACAGAGGAGAGCTAAATCCGAATCGAGCGTTTGGCCGTGTTCCCGACCCCGAGTGCCTAACGTCTGTACGTTCCGGAGGACCGGCGCGAGATTTCATTTGCATAGAAACTGAAATCTTAATCAGCGTCTGTAAATGACGGATAACGCGCACTCTCTTTTGGCACTCGTGGGTCCCCAAAGAGGAGCTCTCGGCAAAGCTGTAGGTTAAATAGAACCAAAGTGGATTGATATTATAAGCGTGAGAGTATGGAATTAGCGTTATGAATGGAATATTGAGTCGAAAGTAGGATCAGAATCTCGACTCGGACAAAAAGGGTAAAAACACAAAAGATAACGCGCATCGCGCGCCGCGTTGGCACATCGAGGCCAACGGTTTTCCGACGCGCGGCGCATCGACGCGGCGCTTCTGCGAAAAGCGATTAAGTTCACGGCGCGTAGTTCCTGGATTAGGTAAATGCGAGAGTGAGTTCCTCGCGGCAAGATTCGCCGGTCCCGCGAGTGGCCGTTTGAATTTCTTCCGTCGCGAGGAGAACCCGTCTGAAAGCGCGCGCGCGTGCGCATATCCCTTTCTCCGCCGATGAATTTGACCGATCATGGAAGACTAATCGCATGGCAATTAAACGCGCCCAGGAGAGGGGAAAAAACGCGGGCGGCGGCGGCGGTAATTAAAGAAATAAGAGAAAGTAAACGACGCGAGAGACGACGCGACGGCTAAGGAGCGACGCGCAACCGGCGTCGCGCGGATAAAAATACCTCGCGGCGCGCTCGCGTGTTTCTCGCGAACCACTCGGGTGTTTTCGTATATGGACGAAAAGTGCGCTGCAAACACGCGCACGTGTGTCACCTCCTAACATCATTAGCGAGCATTAATTGGACGCCTCCCCCGATGTCGAGAATTGTCGCGCGCCTCCAAAGATACCTCGTGTCCCGCTCCAGCTCGCACTCGCTGTGACGAAAATAAAGCGAGGCAGCGGACGATCTTATCCGAGCGACATGTCTTGTGCAATCAGTTGCGAAAAACTGTACCGTTAATGTCCATCCGGTTAATGATATCAGTTAATACCGTAACGCCATCGCGATGATACCGGTAGCGATACTTCACGCGACGATGACGCCGCTTGGTAGAGCCGAAAAATCCAAATCTCAAAATCACGAAATAATTATTCGCTACCCCGCCTCTCTTTTTCTCGCTCAAGCTTTTATTAATCTCGATTGATTCCCCGTGATTGGATATTTTGGAGAACCTTAATTTAAACAATGTTCTCAAATCTCGAGATTTGGAAACCTTCCGTAAAGTCATAATATTAAAATCCAAAGACCGGGACAATATCCCAATTACAATTTGTCAAAAGTATTTTATTGTTCCGCAAGACGAATGTTCACCTCGAAAAGGAGACAACTGTGTTAAGATCCACCTATTCGAGGGCCTTTTTACAGTCGTTGACAAGAAAAGGCTGTCCGTAATTTTCGTGAGCTTCGGAGCGTATCCGTCCTACTGAAAAATTCTATCGAGATCTGAAATGAGATTTCCAAAAAATTTTCGAAAAATATGAGATCTCAATTATTTCATACGATATCTCAATTGAGATGTATGAAAAATAGAAAAGCTTTTCCATTCTTTGATCGAAGTATCATTAATTATTTTTTCATTTATGATTTCTGAATTGAGATATTGTGTGAAATAATTGACATCTCGTGCAGAAAATTCCGCGGAGATCTCATTTTAGATCCCGACAGAAATTTTTCAGCAGGGTGTCTAGTCCATTGGGAGAATTCTACTACCGGGCAAGACAAATACGTTCTAAAATGCACGCAAAACATTATTACAGACCGCCTTTTTGCCCAATTAACTCCGTCCGGCGTCCGGCGTGAAATCGTATTTCGAAGGATTATTTGATATTCAGATTTCGGTATCGCGACCTCTCGGAAAATCGCCTCGCTTTTTAGATGGCCGTGCATTTTCGTCCGGAATAACGGAAGTTTCCTCGTCTTCGTCGCGCTGCCACGAGAGCATTTTCGCGAGCGGATCGCCGCGAACAAAATTGGAAGCGCAGCGCCACTTTAGGGCGCAAACTTCCCCGCGCGTTCGCGCGCGCGCGCGCGGCAAATTGCTCTCTCATCGCGACGCAGAACGCACTTAAGAGCCGCTCATTAATATGCGTTAAGTGTTCGAGGCGTCTCCCTGCGCCTCCCCGTCCCGCTCCTCGTTTTCTCCAGCATCTCGCCGCTCTTTCTCCGTCTTCCGCGCTTCTGTCTCCCTCCCTCCGTCCGTGCGTACGGCGCGTCCGCCGGCCACGCTGCACATCGCGCGTTCGTTCGTGCACATTAAAATGAAATTCGTTAGCGTCTCGAAGCTGGCACGACGCGCACCTCCGGTTTTCGGCCGCGCGCGAGCGCGCCTCCCTTCGTCCTGTCGACCGACAAACCAAGACCCGATGACGTACACTTATATACGTGTAAACTCAACGCTTCGCAACGAGTCGCGAAAGTTGCAGATTTGAAGAAGGTAGTGCCTGTGCAGAATCCATTTTTGTCTAGCCTCGCTCCTACCTATACGAGGAGGAAGCCAGGCGGAAGATACCATGGTACGCCTGTGAACAGTGGAAGGATTATCGAGTCGAAATTTTGATCCTGCTTTCGACCTCGATATTCTATTCTATTCAACGCCAATTTCATACTCTGACGCACGCATCAGTCCACTTTGATTCTATTTGGCCTGCAACTTTGCCGAGAGGTCTTCTTGAAGATTCCGCCTACAAATGGCGAATTGTGCGATTTGTGTCATTTAGAGGCGCTGGAGTAGTAACTTGCGTTTCTCTATAAATTTCTCGAATCTCCATTGGCTCTCCAGAATCTATAAATGTTCTATAAATTCTATAAATTTGAATCTATAAATTCAAATATCGAAATAGCTGCCCTTTATATTAATATCTCATCCTCCAAGTCTCTCACAAGAAAGTTGTCAGTCGAACGAGCTGCCGACGATCGATTTCGACCCCTCGCATCTCCTTCGGTTTCGCAAAAAATACCGCGACCCACAAACGGCATGTTTTGGGACTATTCTTGATACCGCTGAAAGGGTTGGCTAATCTCTCTCTCTCTCTCTCTCTTTCTCTCTCGAAAAAAAAAAGAAAGAAGAGCCGCGTCTCAGTCACATCAATGTCTAGTCAGCAATTTGGAGAACCTAGCGAATATCGCCAAACGACAACGAGCTTGGCCGAGCCGAAGGAATTCAGTCGAATGGCTCATGTGCGATTCCGTCAGATGACAGTTCGCTGACATGCGAGGGACAGGTTTCGGCGCAAGAGCGGCGAGTTCCGACCGAGCGGTCGACGTCCGGGAGCGCTGGCGAGCGCGGAGAACGGCGCGCTGTAAAGCTGGATTCGCACTATGCGTCTAGACGGCGGCAGCGGCGACGCGGGCAAGGCCCGTCGAATTCTTCTTGCTTTTTCTTGAATAATCGAGATAATGAGGGTGACGGATCCTGCTGCGAATGCTCCGCGATGCGAAACCGCACCGAGGAGAATGTCTGGACGCGGTGCGAATGCAGCTTGACGAGCTACCGAGAGCGGCCGAGAGCTACACACGAATCCGTCCGGCGACGTCGTACGCGTCGTTCGATTTTGGTGAGAAGCCCTCTCGCGCGCGCGCGCGCGCGCGCGCGCGAAAGCGCGGCGGCGAGGCGCGGGGTGGCGGGCGTAGCGCGCGGATTAAATGCAGACAACGCGCATCGTATGCGGCGGCCCGGCCGCACGCATCCTCTCCTCTTACAACGTCCTCCTGCGAATGCGTACGCAACTGTTAATGGTTTGTCGTCGCGGCGCTGCACGTGATCCTGATCCAAGGCCCCTCATCAAGGGTCGTAACTCGCGTAATAATGCGACGACGAATTCACGAGGACGTAATTCGGCGTGCGGTGATCCCGAAACTGCCGGATGATCATAAGACGGCCCCGATCGGAATCTACCATTTGGCCGCTTACTATCGACGACGACCGGGTCCCCCGGGGGTGAGAACAGCGAGCGAGGGGGGGGGGAGGGGTCGAAGTGCCGGGCCCGAGCCGGAAGCTCGATGATAATTTCACGCAGGCATCTCGCGCGCTCGCGTCTCTCACGTCAAATCGTTGATTACCGGCGGACATTGAGACGTGTACCGTCGTCTTTTCTTTTCGCAAGGCACGCGGACAATTCCGTTAATGATGCCCTTGCGACGAGTCGCCGTTCGTCACAACGCGGCCCCGGCCCGCAACGCGCACCCGCGGGATTCACAAATTTCGCCGCGGAGCGTCCTCGCGGCCGGGCCGCATTAACGTGTAACTGTTTCTCCGCCGATTTCTCCGCCGCCGCTGCGGAGACTTCCTGCATGTCCAGCACGACATGTCCGAATCGGTGGTGCGTAGGCCGCGCGATATCACGTTAACCGCGTATGCCGCGGACTGTGGGACGATTGAGCGGACGAGCAACGTGGAGGGACACCCCCCTGACGCTCGAAATGTTAAAGGCTACCTAGTGGGTGAAATTTAAGCCCTTTTACGTCAAGTTTCGTTTCGTTCTTATTAAATGTTACATTATCCACTGCAAACTTTTCTACTTTCTATAATAATATTCAATAATATTCAATAATAATAAAACATTTAATTGCATATTTTTTTGTTTGACTGTTTTTATTTTTTAAATAAAAATATATGCACACCGGGATGAAATTTCATCCGTGATAGCATTAACGGTGATTTTCTTCGTTGGTAGCTTTCAAGGGTTAACGCTGATTTATCGCTCTGGAGCCTCTTTTGGTTGCGTTCTCTGTCATTCAGGGACGTTCATCTTCACGGATCGTCCAGGATCCACAACAAATGTTAAAAATATTCCAGTCGAAAATGGAATCAAAATTTCCCTCGAGTCGTACGACTCGAACGACAAAAAGCTTGAAGAACGAACGTGTTCTTTATTAGCGGCATGTCGATTATAATCTCACCGACGGAAAGTGCGGATCTTCTCAGGATATCTCATTTGTCGAGCAAGCGTTCGGTTAATTAACAATTAACTCTAGAATTATGGAGATAACGATGACTAAATACCGATGATCCATTTCTACGGTCGAGATGATAGGCTCCCGGAAAGATTCAAGGGTGAAAATATTCGCTCGTTTCTTTTATTTAATGTCCTTTGGAAAAACATAGAATGCGTCGCTACGTAAATTCGAGCGACCTTTACAAGAAGTTACAAGAAACCAGTCATCTCGGCCAGTCATTTGGTGGTGCATTTGGTGCTAATCTAAACGTTTCACCAGCGTACCCAGTGGCATCGGTTAGCTAGGCAGAGCGTCTCGCATGTTTTTACGCGCGAAAGTCCAACGTCACGGCAAAACGAATCGAAAATGCTCCTCTTTGTTCGCAGGATTATTTATTTGGACGTTCTGCTTTATCGGAGCGGTGCACAGCGCCCCGAGAATGGCCAGCGACGACCGAATGAACAGCACTCCAAAGTGGGTGAACCCGTGCGGCCTGTCCGGCGACTACTACGTTGACTCTACCATGGACGTGGTTCAAATAGGAGACGCGCAGCTCTTGTCGCAAATAGAGACGCAGGCGAAAACGGCGCTGACACACGCGCGCATTTTGCGCGACGACTATGTGAGTAACACACGATTCCCATCCTTCGCGCGCAACAATACGAGTGTCGCTTTATTGTCGTGAGAGTCGCCCGAGTCGAAATTTCGATCGTACTTTCGACTTTAATATTTCAGCATAATTCGGTACTCTAGCAAGCTGCGCTTCCCACCATTTCGAAGTACTCAGTAGGAGTCTCTGTATGAACTGCTTATAATAATAATATAAATTTTATAAGCGTAATATATAAGTAATATCTTATAGTTTAAATATAAAAATACGGTACGCAATTTTTTCATAATACATAAATCGCACTTTGGTCTATTGGCGTCTGTATAAATTAAATCTCCATCGGTCCTCCACAGAATCTACAGATATTAGAGACTGCTCAGGCCGAAAAAATGGCCGAAAAAATTTCGACTCGGGATGAAACAGGAATTTGTGCGGTTCGCGCGCGAATCTTACCGGATTTCTCGCTCTTTTCTCTCTCTTGAACTATCGACGGCTCGCAAACGCGAACGATCACGCTCGATCGATGCGCCGATAATTATCGGCGTGACTTCTGGGAGGGGCTTCTCGGACGGAGCGAGAGAACCTCGAGCGGAAGGCAGTTATGGTAGTACTTCCGGCCGTCCGGACGTCGATCGTAGTTCCATGAGTCGCATAGACCTACGAAAGAGATCTCGATCTTGCGAAACCTGCCGCGTCTTCGTGCCGATCGCTTTATTAACCAACCTTGGTATTCCGCTTTTTCACGCTTCTCGCTTTTCTCCGCATGCGCCGCAAACACCAATATCTAAGAAAATTCACGCACTTAATTATTATGTTGCACCAATATTATTATTATTATTATAATACGCTCCATGAAGAAACGGTTAAATCTCAATACACGCAAAAACGTTCGATTCGCGAGAAGAGAGGAATCTACACTGTGTTCCGCTTCGCCTAGTGATTCGCGAATCATCGCTGTTGTTCTCGTGGAAGTGGATCGTGGAATCGGCAAGCCGCGGCTTCCTTAGGATTCCTTAGGTAATCGACTTTACGAGGTTGATATAAATACGAGAGATTTTCGTTTCGAAAGAATCCTCCCGACCAATCGTACCTTATTACCTCTCTCTCTCTCCAAGGACAATAAATCACGCAGCGGAGAGACCCGGGCGGCTGCTCAAGGTTTCTCTGTAGGAGCGATCCGAAAAAAGAGACCAAATCGTAGAGAAACGAGCAGAGCGACGGCAGAGTAGATGTTTCGCGCGCGGGATTCTCGTCTCTCCATCGCTCTGTTCTCTTCGAGAGGAGAACCTCGTCACTTTTACGCACCGTCCAATAATCGATTAATCGTAACGCGATTCCGCTGGACGGAAATCGTCTGCCGGAATCGGGCTGCCGGAAAAGAAACGAAACGAAACGAATGGGGAGGCAAGGCAAGAGAGAACAGCGATGGCCGCTAAGCTGCCGCGTTTTGCCAAACGACACGGGGGACAGCAGCCCCCGATCAAAAAAAAAAAAAGAGGAAAAAAGGCGGACAGCAGTCAAGACCAGAAGACAAAGACCCCCTTCCGCTGGGCTCGCGCCAAGTGGAGATGTTTACCTAGGCGATGTGCTACGTGCGTATGACCGAGTGAATTAGCATTCGTCGCGTGCATCGAGAGAAAGGGCATTTGTGCCTCCTCGCCATTATATAGGATCCGTCTCGGCCGCCGTCTCGCGGCCGCCGCCGAAGGGCCGGGCCGCGGAGCGTTCCCGTTACATCATCGCCCGCCGGGCGATACCAGATACCGCTGTTTTTTCTCGGCGTCAGCGCATAACTCGATATCGTCCGGGCCGTAAAGTCGCGTCATCCCCCGCCGCGCCCCCTCGCGGGGGAGGACAATAAATCGCGCACGTGTAAATGCCCGCGAGATATAATGAGCGACGTGGAAAGCGAGTGAAGTCATAGCAGCCGTGCGCGATGACAGAGAGGAGGGGGAGGAAAGAGCGGGAGGGAGAAAGAGGGAGAGGCCGAAAGAAAGAAGAAGAGAAAGAATGAAAGAGAGTCAGGTTCCCCGCGAGCGCGAACTCGAGCGGCGGGGCTGTGAGAGTCCCGGGGAGGGAGGGGGGCGCCTCCGCGGTGATATCGACTCGCGGCGACACACTGTCTGCTGGTCCAACGACTTCGCCTTCCAGCGCTTGTTATCGGTTCAGCGTAGACTGTCCAGCAGCAGGGAGAAAGGAGTAAGATTAGCTGAGGATACTGGGAGGATACTGGGAACGGCGGAAGTTTCACGGACGACGCGTATGTCGTGGCACGGCGAACGCGCGGTACGTCCGAGACGGGCCTCGCGCGATCGTCCCTTTCTGTTTTCGGGTCAAACGATTTTTCTCCGACTCCGGTTTCCGGCGATCCTCCGCGCCGGGAGTGTCTCGAAGAGATTCGTCATCGATCGAGAATCTCCATCATTTTGAATCCACCCTAAAATGTTGGATAAGGTAGCTTCGAGCAAAACCTTCAAGACCGATGCGGTTAGGCGTAATTTTGTCCAATAATGTCATCTCTCGATGACAGGAATCGATGAGAGGACCGAGAAAGTAAAACTGTGAAGTAAAATTTGTCGGGAAAATCCCTATGATCTTGTCGAGCAACCAATATATTATATATATATATGTATGAGATAAACGCACGTTTATTTCACACTATTGCAAACATTAGCGGGTTCTTACCCGCTGCCGGTGAAAAATTTAGAATGGTTTACTGATTAAAAAGAGAAAAAAAGAACGAATGTTTTAATACAAAATGTGACCCTTTTCTGCAGGAACATTTTCTTCCTAACAAAATGTGAAATCTATTAAAATAAGATCAATTACAGTTAACGACACTAAACGAAACATATCAAAAGATTCGCTTTAATGGAAGCTCAGTAGATAATTCCTTTTCATGTCAATTCAATTCTTCACGTTCGCAATTTTGCTGATTGCAGCGTTAAACTTATCACCGATCGGTCGCACAAGCACAGCTTTTCAGTGAAAAGGAGAACATTGATGGTACTTTCGAAAAGTTAGAGTTAAATGAACCATAATACCTAATCTAATCTCTCTCTCTCTCTCTCTCTCTCTCTCTCTCCCCCCGGTCATCCTGGCCGTTAATTACGTCGTGACGCGCCGGCGGTTCATCGTACGTCCTTGCGCGTCGCCTGTAATCCTAAAAAAGCCGGCTGCTCGGACTGTTTGCGATTCGTCGCGGACGCGCGACAACGGACAACGCCGGCGTCTTCGCGCGTGCACGGTCTCGCCGGTGTGTACGTGAAGGAATCGGATAAAATATCGGAAGCGGAGGATTCCAATAAATCAGAATCGGAAGCTGCCCCCCCTCCAGCGTGCGTGGGCACCTCTATACGCCACACGCGGGCGCACCGCCTGCATACTAAAGCCCAGACCGGATACACAACCTGCCACAGAGTGCATGTACTCGCCTCGATACATACGACACATATCTCCCACCATGGCACCCAATCGCGCCTCGGCGACGTTCATTTGCATCGTGCCTCCGCGCGCGCGATGACACTTTCCGAACGCGCGTGACCGTCGCCGTTGGCCGATGAAACGGCCCGATGAGCGGCGCCAGAAAAATAATGGATTTATCGGCATTTTCCGGATCGAGCGAGATGACGTGATGACGATGATCTGCAATACACACATCACGTCACTCTCCCGCCGAGTATAACAATCACGTCGTAGCGCGGCATTAACGACGATGCGGAACGTCTCCGACGTCCTGCGTCGATTAAACGATGGCCGGCCGCGCTCGCTCGCCGCGCGGCCATCATCGACGGAATTGGAAAGAGGAATAGCGTCGGCTAGGACTATCTATCTAAATCGAGGGACTTTATGCCCATCGTAGCGTCGAGAGCCGGACTCGCGAGCGACTCGAGGCCGTCACGCCGAAATTTTATAACTTCTAATAAGCGGTGCAGCACCGCGGCGAGACCGCGCTAGAAACAAGACTGAAAGACTAATTGATTTTGACGGATCCTCGGCAGCGAACACCGGCCGCACGCAGGCACGGTACCTCTCCGCGCGCTCTTGCCAGCCTACTTCCTGCCGGCTTCCCCGGCTCGGTTTTACGATTATTCGTGTGCCCCGGTGTGGCCGACGAGACTTTTACGAGGCACAAAATACCCACGCCACAGATTTGTCCGCCACCAGTGGTTATTAGCGACAACAATTTCTTTCACTCCGTCTTTTTTCCTTCCTACCACCTTTCCCTTCGCTCATTCGCCTCGCCTCGCCTTCTCTCTCTCTCTCTCTCTCTCTCTCTCTCTCACTTTCTCTCTCTTTCTCTCTCTCTCTCTGTCTCCCGGTCCTAGTCGATCTCCCCGTTTCCCCTTGTACCCCTCGCGTATTTCGCCGCGTAAAGGCGCGTGGAAAAGCGCCGTCGGAGAGCTCGTCGAAAGCGCGACGATCGGTACGATCGATCGATCGATCCCCCGGGCGGAATGAGAGCCACCGTGCGAATAAGCGACACGTCGTTAAACGTGAACCGATGAAAACGAGTTCCTCTCGAAAGGAGGAGAGGCTGTAGTGAGCGGGCGTGTAGACGCCCGCTAATGTATTTATTACAGGACCGCTCTCGCACGGAGTCGTCGTAAAATTCTATTTAATTATCTATCGGGCCGGCCGATCACGGCGTGTACACGCCGCGCGCGGCGCGCCGTCCGCGGAGCTTCGCGCTGGATATCGCTCTTCGAGATTTTATTAGTAATAACGTAGCCGCGATGACGCAACGCCGGCGGCCCTCGCTCGCCGCGCTCGCACGCGTATTTGATACTTTTCGATACAAAGTGATGAGCCGGAAAGATATCTTTGTATCGTGCCGGGGGCTTTCGTAACGATCGGGGCGTGAGAAGGGCCGATCGGCGCGCGAGTGCCCGCAGGTATCCACGAGATCGAGCATGCCATAACGAGGGAATGAATTTAATGAATGACTGCTGCTGCTTTCCTGCCAGGACTATCCTCGCGATAGCAACGGATCGGCGAACACCCTCGAGATTGGTGGTTGTCGCACGATCGCGAGCGAGTATGCTTACACAAGCCTGGCCGCTCCGTCGAGACAATCAGCTGCGTATTGGAATCAATATTGGAATCAGTATACAGAGGAACAAGATCGTTTACTATCAGAAGAGATGGTACGTTGTCTCACGATCGGAAATACACTTGGGTGAAGGCGCATGCAGTGTGTTACCTACGCCGTGGACAATCGACTCGATATGTGCTCCCGATGACGTTAACGTGACGTAACCGCTGAAGGAGTCAAAGTGACTCTTGTGCAATTTCTAATAAAAATAGCATTTTACGCCTTCCACGCGCATTGACGCAGAATGAAAATGGTAGAGATACGTATCTTTATATGTTTTCCCCACGCACGTTAGGTATTTCTACGTGACTTTTGCGCATGTTTTCAAACACCCGACATTTCGACGGCTCTGATAGATGTAGGTCGTTCATCGCCGGGAGTATTTTAGCGTCAGGTCGTCGTTCACGTCGTTCACCCCGCGCCGAGTAGCGCTCTCCGGAGCAAGGCGCTCCTTATGGACGATTCACGAACACGAATCTCTCTCCTCGCGTATATCGCATATATAGCACTGCCTCGTCGTGCTCATTCTTCGGCTCCGACTTTTCATTTATATCACTCCGTCCTCTTTCGTGCAATGATTTCTCCCAAATTGTTCCCTCTCTCGTGTGCATCTCTCACCAAGACGTTCGTATAAAACAATATAAATACGTTGCGCATGGTTTCGCTGTTATGTCGCGCCGGATGCAAGCGAATCGGTGAAAGAAATTACCTGTTGATAAATCGCGAGCGCGGCATCGGGACAAGTGAAAGTTCGCTTATTAACGTCGCTGAGATACGCCAAAGGAGCACCGGCATATATACCTGTCGCAACAATTGATAACTACCGCGCTTGTGCCGAAAATACACGCTGAAGAAATCGGACGCGCACGTGCATCCATAGCGCTCAAAGGGTTAACACGTTTATCTTGACGTGAGCTTATCGCGAGGGCTCGAGCGACACCCGTATCTTCGGCACCGCACGGAGGGGAAAAGATTGATTGACTTCACGTGACAATCGACGAGCCAAACGCATTTTGCTCGAAGGAAGCAGGACTTCTGGCTCTTGCAGTCGAATTCGTAATAAAGAAAAATTCTCGCTGTTTCCTTCATCCAGGATGTGCTGGTTCGTCCATTGTCATATTGATTCAAACAACTTTCTTCTCCTTGAGCGTTGCCGTCCGACAAAAGATCGCACGCGAATTTGTATATTGCGAACTCGTGTTAATAGAGATTATTAATTACTTATTTATTTATTTATGTATTTACGTAACAATGCAATTTCCTTAGTTTATTAATCCCTTAATAATTCTTTGAAATATAATACGTTATTTTTATAGTCTACCATATACGGGGTAAAAAATTATATAGAGTATTAATTAATTAACACAGATTATTATCGGAATTGACCTGGATCGGTAATCCGTGTTGTTCGCGCGACATCATGAGTATCTTTTTTCGTCACGAGGGTGCGATGACCCAGCAAACTGTAGTCGGAAAGTTCACGAGATTGAAACGCTGATACACCGCAAAGTGCAAACACGGCGGAGCTTAAACAGAATTACGCATGCACGCACGCACGTACGCACGCACGCACGCACGCACGCACGCACGCACGCACGCACGCACGCATGGACACAATCTCCCTCTGCAAGCTTTTTTTATATATTTTTTAGGTTTCTTATATTTTTTCTTCCTGCTTTATTAATTTCTGCGATGCATTCTCACATCTCGTTGACATTTGCCAATGTGTTCTTTTTTTTCAATTTTTTCCACCAAAGAATTATTTGGATATTAATTTAAATCTTCATTGGACGTGCAACTGCTTCTCATCTTTGTCTCTGCGACTCTTTCTTCTTCGCTGCTTAGAACTTCGAAATCTTATCGAAATTTCTAACGCCGAGAAATGAGAATATTATGAATAGACTTATATTATTTATCTATTAATCCCATCTATTAATTACTTGTACTAAATATTTAATATTAATTTATTTCACACAATCAATCTGCAGTTGAGCAAGTTATACACAATTAATGCATTGTTCATTGAAATTAAAAATACAGAATATATATGATAATTTTTAGAAATAATTTGAGTCGATGAACATAAATTATTTCAGATTGTCTTTATTTCTGTCCTACTTATACGCATGAGAATTTTATTTTATTTTATTCTATTTTGTTTTATTGATATTTTCTTACTTTAAATAGGTACTACCGGTTTATAAATAAATAAGTAAAAATCCATGCGAATAAAATATTGAGATAACGAAATATTAAATAACTCCGAGATGTCTTGCTTGAAGATTCGACATGAAGGAAACGGCAGCAAGGGTTACTTGTAGCGTCAAGATAGAGCTTGTATAATGTTTTGTCTCGAGATCCTCCATTGTGTGATCCTTGTAGGTTCAAAGGAACCTACAAGGCCGACGCAGAGCTGAAATTTCGACTCTCTGGCACGCTTCTGTCGCTCCCTATTTCCTTCACACCTCTCTCGGTTTGGCGGATGATTCATAATGGCTCGTTCGATGTGAGCGATCCCTAATAGGACAATTAGCGTGTCTCGAGCGGCGGCCGGGTTTCCAAGTAGTTTCCGGGTAAAGGACTAATCCGACTTTTGTTAGCTGACCCATCCCGGTATTCCCGAAAAGTCAGCGTGCCGCCACCGCCGCCGTCGCCGCCGCCGTCGCAGTCGCCGCCACGTTCGAGCCACGCGCCGCTCGCGAGACCGTGCGAGCGTTACTCATTCGGCGATTCGCACGGTCGCATGGCCACGTACCAGGAACGAGGGATATCGGGAGACTGATCGTGCGCGAGATGTTGCACGACGTGTAATCGGTGACTAAACACGCCGACATCCAGCGAGTCGTCGCTCCGCGACCTCGCGCTAACGCGAGAGATTAACGAGAGCGACGGTGTGGCTGGCGCAATCGCGGCTACCTGGAAACACACAACAACGGGAGCGCTGCCTTTCGCGAAGCGGCAATGTTGGGTATCTCGAGAGAGGCTACTTGTTGTCGCGTGTCAATAATTCGGCTCGTATAACGATAAGGCGTACGACAACGCGACGCGCGGTATATACGTCGTGTGATCGGTAGATCACTGCATGTTTCCGCTTCTCGGGATATTCGAATCGTAGAAATGCGATAGACAGGAAGGGGAGAAAGAAAGACGGCGGCGACACAAGCGGTGATGGGATCGAATTATTGACACGCGAGCCAATCGAGCGAGCGATTAACTTTTGCTTTTTTCCTCTCCTATTCTGAAATCACGTTGGATTCTTCGGGTCGCGAGGGCGATGGCATCCGCGCGCGTATGCGCGTCACGTAGCATTACTTTATATACCTCGGATTCACCCCGGGGGTGCGACCAGTGTGAGAGAGACAGAGAGAGAGAGAGAGAGAGAGAGAGAGACACGCGAAACGACGTAGCGATAACGCGACGACGACACCCACGCATGATAATTTTTCTCAAATTTCCGCGGGGTTACGCTCACCGGGAGGACGATGACGCGGAAACCCGATAGTGCCGCGCGATCCTCTTCGACGTCGCGACTCCTTTTTCGAGCGAAACAACGTATCTAATCGCGCCCACGTCTGCCTTCCTTGATCTTACAGCTGCAGCAGATTCTCCTAAGCGGCAACACAGCCTTCAAATCGTCCTGGGATGACATACGCTACGAATGGCTACCTGGACCAAAGGAGATACCCAAGATGCTAGGGGAGAAGCTGGACGAGGCGTATCTCGAGACGTTGACCGTACGTATAGACGTATTGTTTCGTGTCGCATCGCCCTCCCCTCCCCCCTCCCCACCTCAGGCAGTATATCGTCAGTAATCGACGACAATGGCGACGATGATTCTCGCGAAAAGCACGTCGCTCTCTTCGCAAGACGCGCGATGTGACACTTCAGCGACCGCGATCGCGCGCGATGTTGATTACAATCGATTGACAAACTCGTCCGCTCCGTTTTCAGATTGACAGCACTCTGCAAAACACTTACGAGTACCTGCAAAAATTCGCAGTGGGTATCGAACAGATAGTCTGGGAGCAACGCGACACGGGGGGCCCCTTCAGCAAGCACTTCGAGGACGTGGAGGACCAACTTCGATCGGTTAGTTTATCTTCCAGATCTAATCTCTTGTCTTTCTCTCTCTTCCTCCCTCCTTCTCTCTTTAACTATAAACTGCAGGGGGTTGTTAACCCCCTCCCTGTCTTCAATGAGGGGGTTAAGTACATTCTAATCTAATCTAATCTAACTCTATCCTTCTCTCTCTCTCTCTCTCTCTCTCTCTCTCTCTCTCTCTCTCTCTCTCTATCTATCTCTCTATCTATCTATCTATCTTTATTTCTTCCTTTCTTTATTTCTCTCAGTAATTGCGGCAAACTATGAATTTTCGGATTGTCGTTCTTGGTGGTACGAAAATATTATAAAATAAAATAAAGAAAAAAGAAATATAGAAACTGCGCGCGACTTTCACAATGGCACCAGTTAACCGAGCACAATTGACCTGAATTATTCCGCCTTCCGTTGCTGTAAGCGCGACAAAAAGCGTTTTGCCAAGTTTTACGAGCGTTTTACGTAAAGGTTGAGACGTCGGAGATCGTCGCTGAAAGACAAAACTGCCATTTTATCGACCATTCCGACGAATAGCTTTCGGCGCGCTCAGGTTCCCGTGTATCGGAGTTTCCTGTGTTTTTCTGTCTCGTTATTTACTCTCTCGATATGCATCGCCGACTTCGCCGGCACATTACAGAAAGATCTCAACCGCGGAACCGACGTTCACAGTAATCTAGATTCGTCGCGAAAATTTCATAATAATTATCCCAGGCAGCTTTGTCATACATCAAATTAATCCGTTACACATTTATCTGTTTTCGTTTTATATAATTCGAATCCTGTCTTGTCGCAAAATCTGAATTTCAATCCGGATGTAATTCGGATCACCTCGACCACCCGACTAATGCGCGGTCTTAAGTTTTTCAATCGAAACCGATCTCGGGCAGTTAGATATCCGAATACTTGAGAGATGTTATAATTTACCAGACGAAATTCTCGAATGCACCTTGCGAGTGTCGGCTGCTCCCTCTTTCTAATGAGATTCGCGAGCTCCCGCTGCGCGTCTCGCCCGGACGTATTCCGCGGATCGGGAAATCCGGCCGGTCTCTGACGTTTCGATGAATTGTTTTCTTTCAGATTCTCTGTGAAGTGCAAGTCGGCTTAGTAGAGCGTGGGACACCATTACCGAAAGATGTCTCGCGATCTATTATGCCGGACGAGCAACGCTCCCTCACCTCGCAGACCGAGCGGAACCTGCGAGCGTTCATCATCTACCGGGATTACGTGAACTTTCTGGAATACATACAGCAAGTCTTTATGTATTTGAGAAACAAAGCGTACACCTGAGGATTCCAAGGCGAAAGTAGAAGAAGGGTTACCAGGCGACGACTCACCCATTTCAGGACAGCGGCGCAACCGCAACTTCCCCATGTCCTGCTGACTTGAGATGGTTGAAGGAGGAGGGTGGCGAAAACGAAAGAGGTGTCCTTCCGATTGTGTCTTTTCTCTCGCCGGGAGGACGATTTTCTCACAAGCCATGTGCGTGCAAGGGGACCGAGCCAATTGCCGGGGACCGGTATCGACGACGATCGATCGATCGATCGATCGATCGATCGATCGGATCGTCGCGGCGTAACCGCCCCTTGTCGCGTTCGCCAGCACGTGTCATGAGCCAGCGGCACGATCACTCTCCGAGACTGGAGTTACACGGCAGCCATTGTCGCGAGTCTCATCTCATCCACCGTCCTCCTTCGACCCGCTCTCCGCTAGAACGTCAACTGATTAAGGGTAAACTGATTCGCGTCGTTATTAACCCATTCGCTTTCGCCTACAAACTTGCGTTTATTTATATACGTACATTGTCACACAAGTAGCATATCTCTAGCATGGCTTCGGCGCGACGACGCGCCATAACCGTGAAACTGCGTGAGCATGCCTAACGACTCTCGATATCGCGGAAGCGAAAACGAAAGCAACAGGTTCAGCCGCTCCCGCACGAGAACGGCTCCTACGGCGCGACGACGACGACTATGCGGGACATCGCGTTGCTTACGTCCCAGGAACGCGACGGCACCTCGCGTTGTCGCCTCGACGCCGCCGGACTTTCGGCAATCCCGCCGCGGCGGGATCGTGCTTGACACGCGGTGCCTCAAACACGATGTGCTTTCTCCACCAGTGGCCCGAGGCTCTTAACGATATCTCTTTAAACGAGTAAGTCGGTTGCAACGAGCACCGTATGCAAGGGATCCCCACGTGAGACTGGAGCGCTCGCCGAGCATCAGCGACAATCCGACTGACAATCTCTCACGATGTCACCTTCGTGACATGTTGCTTACGCGCCAATCCGATCGAAATCCACGGTGGATGTTTGCGGCCGGGTTGCGTTCGGTCTCTTCGCCTTCCGCGAGTCGTTGGAAATCTCAAGTCGTAGAAATCGCATCCGGTGCGATCACCTCCGGACGGTGTCTCGCGGTTTGTTTGGTCACTTGGTCACCTGTAATATCTGACACGTACACACACACACACACACACACATATATACACACATTACGCTACATTTTTTTGTGTGCCAAGTGCGTGCAGTAAATATAAAGTAAGGAAAAAAGTAATTGTGAGTTGAAGTGGACGATGATAGTTAGTTGGAGGAGAAACGAAGTCAATCGTAGCGTCGGTTGGGTTCCTAATCAAACGCAGTATTCACACCGTAATCCGGGCCACTCGCGATCCACAAGTTGAGAAAATCGCGCGCACACGATGTCGTGATATGCAGACGCACGAGAATGTCGTGAACGACGTATGCCCTAAGAGGTATTTCTGCGCGAGCAATTCACACACACACACACACACACACATACACACATCTCCCCCCTCCCGCTCCAACCTACCTTCCCATATTCCCACGTAATAATTTATTGACTCTCCGTAATGTTAGTATATATTTCTATTTATTCAGATTATTTATTTTATTTTTATAAAGGTTTTACACACGTCCGATTAATTGTATTTTAAAGTTTCTAGTTGAGCTTAAAAGTGCCTAGCGTACAAAAGGACATATCTCTCACTTTCTCTCATTCTCTCACTCCCCCCTTCCCCCTCTCTCTCTCTCTCTCTCTCTCTCTCTCTCTCTTTCTCACGTAGTTGAAACTATTATATTATTATTATAATATCAATATCGGGGTGAAGTGCAAAGTCCATCGTACGCTACGTCCGCGCAGAATATGAGAAGAGAAAAACAGACAGGGAGAGGGAGACTCGATATACTAACTGGAAACTTTACGAGGCTCATAAATTTCGCAATTCCGATCGCTACTACTTTGCACGCAATGATATGCCGCTGATATTGCGTCTTACTCGACGCTGATTTATTTTGAACAAATATTCTTCTACACGATCCTTTTTCTTTTAGAGATATCGACTTTTTTTCATTTTCGATTTAACGATACGCAAGACTGTTAAAGGCTGTCGGCTAAAGGACCACGTCGCGAGATATTCCCTCTGTTGACTTTAATCTAAGTTTAGTCATAATTCTATCCGCGACGTTGCTTCACACGATTTGCCGGGCATATTTTTATACGCACGTGAAATGCATATTTTTATACTTTGTCGTCGTAGGGATGACGAATGAAAGAATATATACGTATTTCGCGACGACACATCCCCTTGGAGCCGACAGTCCCCGAAAGTGATAAAACGGAAGAGTATTGTTGGTACTTATTTTATGTCACTCTGGAAAAGGTCACTGTGCGATCATGTGCAAATAAAAGTGCATTCTGATGTTGCATCGTCATTAATTCTTTCCTCAGTAGCGGCCCGCAAGCTTATCATAAATCATACGTACAATTGCCCACATGTAGGTGTGCGGTTATCATTTTAACGCGAGAAACCGTTATTTATACGCACACGCGCAATGCGTTAAGTGTATTCTCTTTTCTCTTTGTTATCGTATCATCGCGTCTGTGATATGCATCGTAGAGTATCTTCAACCGATTAATTGTTTTATCGTCGAACCGATAGATTGTTTGTTTCCATTTCGAGACGAAAAGGAGACAGAGGAAAGGGCAATAAAAATAGGAAGAAAGAATGACGTCTCTCACATGTCTTCAATCGATCTCTGTGTCCCTTTTTATTAAAAAAAAGAAAAAAAAAACAAAAAAAAAGAAAGAAACTTGTACAGTTATGCAATTATGGAACGCACAGGTGAAATTTCAAGGTACGAAAATTCACGGTCTCGGTGATACTCGATGAGAAAATTAATCGTGGAAATTGATTAATTACGCTCTTAATAAATCGATTAGTATTATTTATTAATTAACGCTGTTAGTTATAGTATTTATTAATTTACAGACACACGCGATTAATTTACTACTGGCGAACTAATAGTATGTATAAAAAAAAAGAACACAGTTTTATCGTACAATCGTACAATACATAGTACAATCAGCAGGACGAAGACGAATGTCGCTGCAGGATCTTGTCAAGACAAGATCCAAGAAGAAGGCGGGGCAAAATTTTCTCGAGAGTATGAGTGCGTTCCATAAGCACTGCGAAATCAATGAAACATCAGCCATTATACTTGTGTATACATACACACTGTACATAGAGAGATCAATCCGATAATGTAGTATAATATAGTGATAAGCTACAGAGACTATAAAATTACATGTGGATATGTAATATGCATACGGGCTTTTCTCTTCGGAATGTCCGCTCTGTTGTATCATATTAAACCAAAGACCACTCAACACCGAGCGCTGTTGTTATTTCTCAGTCTACTGCCTCCTCCATTTTTCCCTCCCGACGCGATTATTCCAGAGAATTAATTCTACAGGAATTTCGCAAAGTCGGTGCGGTAAATCGCGGAACATCGTCGTGACGAATCTAGTCCTGATGACATGTACTTATATTTTTCACAAACAATGGACAATTATTATGTAATAGCATAAACAATCGTCCGGTCCATTTTTATAAATGTCTGGCGTATCTTGTCAAAACGGGTGACTGCATGTTACAACCAGAACAGAAGACACTGAAATTAACTTTCAGGTAGTGGGAAAAATATTGTTGACTGAGAAATGTCGAAAAAATGACTCGGGAATGTTGTCTCACGGTCAAAGATGTACTCGGAATGTGTACAACAAGTCTTTGTGTATCTGAGCGTATACTTGAAGATCCCAGGACGTAAGTAGAAGATTACTGGGTTACCAGGTTACAAGTCTTCCTCGATGCCTTGCTAACTTGAGTTGATTGTAGGAAGAGGCGAAAGGGACTTCTTATATCTTCCTTCGATTATATTTTCCTTCGAGGTCCAAGAGAAGAAGTTCGAAAGGGCAAGTGACGTCTGCGCAGGACGAGGAACCGGACATTCGTAAGTGGTACTCACGTTGTTTGCGATTCATCGACATGGTCGTGGAAACTGATGGGTGTACATTGTAACGCGTCGTCGTGGTCGCCCAACTACCGCCGTGATAACTCCAAGACGCAAGTTACACGGCAGCCATTATTGGGTTGCAACTCGTTATCCACCGTCCTCCCTCAACATTCTCCGATAGAACGTCAATGTTAAAAGATAAACAGACTCGCGTCGTTATTAACCTACTCGCTTTCGCCTACAACTCGCGTTTGCTTACTCACGCTCTTCCAAGTAGCGAGTAACAACCGTAACTGCGAGCATGCTTAATGATTCTCGATATCACGCCGCGAAGGCGAAAGCAACAGGTTCAACCGCTCGAGTTCTCGAGACAAAAATGGTCCGATGGGCCAAGATGACTTCAAGTTATCACAATAAATCCCTTGATACGAGTACACGGATTAAAATGGACACCTGTTACTAGTCCCAGACTTTTAGATTCAACTGGACAGCCCAGATTTTACCGTCAATGTCGCCCAGCTGTCCAGCTAACGTATTAAAAGTGTGCAAATTATTAAATATTCCTTGTTCGTTGATATATTCCTCAAGAAATATATTTTTACAAATTACACTTTTAGTCCCTTTTTCCGAGGTTCGTCTAGATTTCCAAATTTGACAACTCTGCCTGGATACACGAGATCTACGTGAGTCCGAAACGATCGTCGAGAGCGGCAAATGAGAAACTAGCTAGATGTCGAAATTCAGCCGAAATCTAACAAACGATTTCATCTCCGTGACATTTCGCCCGTGCTGTTAAAATCCACGGTAGATCTCAACGGAGAACGTGGCGTCTTTCCGCCTTCCGTGTGACTTCTCGTACTCTCGGGAAATAGACGCAAATACGACTATGACTTGGCGAGGGTACACATATAACCGGCAAGTCAACGACCGAAGGGAACTTTGCCCTTTTGGACTTATTCGCGCAAGTCCGCTCTCGGGGACACGTCGCTCTGATCGCACGCGTATTTTGTCTCGCGATCGATCTCGAAGCGAGCGTATTAACGAGAGAGAGAGAGAGAGAGAGAGAGAGAGAGAGACCATTGTCCTTTCCACGACGATCGGCACGCGTTGCACGAGCATTCGACTCGCACATTCCGACTTGTGCAAACGGGATTTGTCTTTTCCCATGATCAGTGTCCGATGTCGTGTCTGGAGCTGTCGACGTCGTCGATGTTTGAGAGGAAACGCGTAAGTACATGATGATCGGCTCGAGCACGGCTCTGTCCCGAGCCGCCGTGTTTGCGCACGCTGTTAGCTCGTTGTCATCGCTCGTCCAACTTACTTTCTCATAAGGATTTCCACTTCTCTCGTACTGAACCCTCGTGTTTGACGATCCCTGTCCGCCTTCCCTTTCGTGCCCTCGTCCAGGTGGTCTCCCGAACGCCGCAAAGGTGTCAATGTTTTATCTAGCCATTAAGATCGTTAGCTCATCGTCCTATGCGGCGTTTGACGGCGATACAATTCTTGAATTCTGTTATAGAGAAACTCGCTCGATGTGTAGAAAGAAATTTGATCTTCTAGTTTCTCTTCTCTCCAGAATAACAAAATGCGAAGTAAAATTCAAAAGGAAGGAAAAGAAGTCTGACAGAAGTCTCATCATGATTCCTGGTACGCAAAATCCTCTTCTATATTTCATAAAGAAGAAAAATCTGTTCTATAGAGAACTTGCTTTCTGAGGATTGATCGGGAACTATTTCTCTCGTTTGGAGAGAATTATCGACTACGTGCTAAACTGCAGTGAGTTAAAAACAAGTGTATGGTCTGCTAAAAACAATGTGCCCGGAATCTTTTTGCTATCTTAATAGTAATTTGTAAAATTCTGGGCAAAGAACAATTTCGGTGCAGCGATTAATATTCCAGCGAATTAGAAATGGACGCCACTCACTGATGAGAGTCACGATAATTAATGCTTCCTAGCCGCTTCCGCCTGATAAATTTTATATTCTCATAAAGAAAGGAACCATGAAAAACGATTACCTGCGAATTATTCTGTGACCTTCTAACAATAACCAATAGCATTGCCGTCATCCATAACATCAACAACGCCATAAAAAATAACAAGAACACGAAAATACAAAAGCTCTCATTTGCCGGTCCTTCTACTTCTTACACGAATTCAAACATCCCATCGCATGCCGCGTTCGAGAGCAAAGGTCACGACGACCTTGCAAAATCATGAGCCGAGTGTGACACGCAGGACACGCCGACAGGAGTCGGCGAGTTCTCTGCGGCGATACGAGCCAGACGCGGGAAATCTACTCGGGAGAGGAAAAGCGCGCTCTGGAAGAAGGAAGGACGCCGTTGCCATTGGAGCGCGCGCAGGTATCGCCGATCGAGGCTCACACGGCAAGGTGAATGAATGAACCGTGAGAAGAAGAGACCGAAAATATCGGTCGACCCTATGAATGGCTGCTGAAAACCGCGACGCTTTTTTCTTTTTCTACCGGAGGGCGCACTGCGCTTCTTCTCCCGTCGCCCCCGGTACCATCACCCCCCCTCTCACGTCCCCCGCGGCTCATCGTCTCTCGTTCGCTCGTCGTCAATGACGACGGCGATGTGCCCCGGCGATCCTTTTGCACTTCGCTCCAAATGAGTCCTGAGAGCGGTTCGGAATCTCTCGTCTAGGCCCCACCGCTGCCCGCCCCCCCCCCCCTCCTACCTGCCAGCGCCATTGCCGCGGGCAAATACTTCGGCTCCTTTCAGCTGGAGAAAAAAAAATAGAAGGCCTCGTTGTAATTAGGACAGTGCGCCCGCATCCCGCTGTTAGAGGGAGTCTTCGTCACTCGCCGTCTCCATTCTTCTTCATCTATCCGCTATCTGGCTCGCCCTGTCCTCCTCCGTTCCGTCGTCCCGAATGCCCGAGGGCGTCCTCCCGCTACATTCCTAGTGACCCTCAAGACAACTTTCAGTAATGTCGAGACAAGAGGCTCCCAAAGTTGAGTGGTCCTCGGAGGATCACTCCTTGGCATCCTTGGAAATCGTGGCTCGTCCGTTGTGGCGGCTATGTGCGTTATTTTGCTCAACGTCGCGCCGATGTCGGATCAATTCGGAAAAATCTCGCTCTCTCTCTCTCTCTCTCTCTCTCCCTCGACTCAAGTAAGATTAGCACGGAGCGGTCGCGTGTAACGAGCGATTACTTTGATTCGCGATCGATTACACCCCGAGTGATCGTTCATCTTACCGGTCGGTTACGGCACCGGAATTATCAAATTCGTCATTTCGTCAGCGTTAGAAGCACCAAAGCGGTCGAAACGAGAACGGTTTGTAATTTCTTATGAAAATTATACTTCAACTTTTGCATATGCAACCATGCATCTCGCGTCGTCTAATGGACGTTGAGGCAAGACCGGAGGCAACAATGGAAACGATTTTCGCTCTTGCACAACGTATTTCTTTTCTCAAAAACCCGGGTTATCTCGGGTATCGCTCCGGTGGTCGCTTTAATCAACCATTAAATTATTTACAATTGCACATACGACGATCGATGAACTTTGATTATTGATTCGCTTCCGTTATTATTCCCGTCAATCGAGAAGTTTTAGTCGATCGATCCCCGGCACCGCGTCCTCGGTAAGGCATCGCGCTCTTGCAATATAAAAGCAAGATAAAAAGCTTGCTCGATACCTTCTCGAGGAGGAAAACACATCTCGAGAGCGTGGAATTTGCATTTCTCAGAGACTTGGATCCGCAGCTTGGTTACTGCCTCTGCGCTGATGCAATGTCCTTCTCGTCAGTCGATCGCGCTCGATCGACTCGCCTCTCGTCGCCGACGACGCCGAAGGTGTGTGAGCCGCCGCCAGGAGTCGTCAGTCCGAGCGCTCGGAGGAAGACGAGCATGGCACACGGTCATCCTTAACTGCTGTTGATTGAGGGGCGGTACCGTGCTAATAGGTTCTATCCCCCGCCCTCCTGCCGCGGATACCACGTTCTAAAACAGACTAGATTTATTTCACGACTAATTTCGCCTTGTTAGCCGACAGGACGTGGCCGGTACAAGGGGTTCTCCATCCGCGCTTCGCGATACTTACTTAATAGGTATTACTTAATAGGTATTAATGGTAACTCTGCGTCAAGCTGCTGCCCGGCGCTTTCGAGACACGCGTGTCTGCGTGCTTCGCGTGCTCGCCGATAACCCTTCTCATTATACGCAGCAGGGCTGAGTCGGATCATTTCGCAATCTCGCGTAACGTAACGTGCAATTTTCGCCGTGTCGGACGATTCCTGCCGGGGAGAAGAATTTGCACGTATGATCTCCCGCGCAGCATTTCCGGCTCGTCGGAGCTGAGCGCCGCGATGTCTACGCGATGTTGTTACGAATGCAGAGTGTCAGCTTCCTTCGCT